TATATATGAATGAATGAATGAGTAATGATCCTATGAGATCTTCCACCCTACAAAAAAAAAATACAAGGTTAGTCTTGTTTCAAATAAAAAGGCACGAAACTTTACAAAATATGAATATTGAATTATAAGGACAGTCGAATTAAGAAATCATAACACGTAGCATAAAGGAACTCTATAAATACAAATATTGAATTATAACGATAGTAGGATCAAGAAACCATAGAAATCGCGATAAGAGAGAGATAGGGGGATTATCAGTTGAGTTTGATTTTTTATTTTTTATTTTTTATTTTTATTTGCTTTTAATTGCTCTGTAATGGTAGCAAAATTGTACTTTATCTTGGATTTGGTTGTGTTGTCTTTTTTTTGCTCGCCAATAATGCATTTAGAAGCTCTCTCTCCCCCGTTCTTCTTCTTTGTCTTGAACTTATTTGTGTGCGTTATATTTTTTTATTTTCCGTTTTTTTATTGTATTTCTTTAGATCTAGTGGTTGTGTTTCTTGGCCTTTTTTTTTTTTTTTCGCTGTAAGTTTCTGTATCTACTCGCAATTGTTATAATAATGGGTGAATAGGGTGCTGTTTGCATATGGCTGTGGTCCTAAACAATTAAATAGTGTTGAAAGATGATTTTTGCTACTGCATATGGTTGTGCGTCTAAACAATTAAATAGTGTTGAAAGATGATTTTTCAGTAGCAAAAATCTTGGTGATGTCTTAAAAAATTATTGTCATATCTAATTATAAAATTTAAAGCTTTAGTAATAGTGTAGATCGAGTAAGATCGATAAACACTTGAAAATATTGAGAATTCGTGGCCTAGATAATGTATTACAAAATGTACTATGTCCCAAACATGAAATTAATTTTCTTTGATCAATTTGATAATTTTTCAACTACTCTTCTAATAAATTTTTGAGATTTGCCTGACCTTATATAAACTTTTTCCAATATACAGATATCCATACAACATCTATCTACAATTTTTTTTCTTCTTTTTTCTTTGGGTATATTGACGTACCTCAAAGAGAGAAGCGTTTTTCAATATATCTCTTCCTACATTCTCTCAACAATTTTATGTGTTCCTGTATTTACTCTATGTACATAGTTTTTTTAATTCAACATTCAAATTACTTCTTCCCATATTCTCTCTCCACTTTTCCTAGTTCACATATACCATAGTTCTAAGAAA